ATTAGCATCAGTACCCGGTCAGTTAGCATTAACACCCAGTCAATTAGCATCAGTACCCGGTCAGTTAGCATCAGCACCAAGTCAATTATCATCAGTACCTTGTCAGTTAGCAGTAGCACCCAGTGAGTTATCATTAGCACCCAGTCAGTTATCATCAGTACCCTGTCAGTCAGCATCAGCACCCAGCCAGTTAGCATTAGCAGCCTGCCACAGTCAGTCACTATGGGTCTAATTTGCGATATTGGAAAAAGCCTTGAGAGACCATGAGAGGCCCTGAAAAAGCTGGAAGGCTGCAATCAGGAGCGAGAAGAGTTTGGAGTAAGAGGACTACAGACAAAGCCCACACTAAGGTGGTCCTCTAGGGCCCCCACACACCCTCTAGCTGTTCAGTCCAGTGCCTGCACCAAAATCCCACGCACCTTATCTTCCCACCAGTTACTTCTGCGTCATATGCATATTTTTTGCCGACTACCTCAGCAGGTTGGTGACACGGAGTGCATCGCACTACCCATATGCTACAGAAATCAGTAATGCGGGGGAGCTGGAGGTGTCTGGTCACTGGGAATTGGAACGGACAGATCACCAAGGACCGAAAACAACACAAGAAAGGAAAACCTACCCCCACCCCCCGGCCATCGTGCGCTGACTGTGGAGAGAATTCCTCGTTTCATGTTTTCTTCCTTTTATTCCTCTCCAACTCCTGTGGAGTGTAACTCCAAATCTTGCCTCCCCATTCCCCCCACACCCCCCCTTCCTGGGTTAAAAATGATCCATGAACTCCTGCAGCCATGGCTCAGTGCTGATGGGCCCGTGATCCGGTCCATGAAGGAGGACATGAGGCCTCTTGATTTTTGAACATGGCACCTCTGCCCTGGCTGGGGGGGGGGGCAGACAAATGGGGAGCAGATGTGAGTGGGTCTTACAGTGACACACCCCTGCCCCCGCCATCACCTGGGTTTCACACGGAGACCTCCTCCCGCTGCCTTCCTGCTGCGCTTTATGACCAGGAGGGTTGGCAGACACCCCCAGGGCTGGGAAGTTCCCGCAGTGTCGTCTGCTGACTTTGGTGTCGGGGGGGGGGGGGGGTCAGCATGGACAACGTTACTTTGGGCATCAGTGGCCTGTCTGTGAGTCTGTCTATGAGCCTTTCTGTGAGTCTGTCAGTACTTCTGTCTCTGAGCCTGTCTATGAGCCTATCTCTGAGTCTGTCTCTGAGCCTGTCTATGAGCCTATCTCTGAGTCTGTCTCTGAGCCTGTCTATGAGCC